TAGCGATAGTATTTTAGCTGCGCAGGGTGGAAATTTTAATATCGATACGCGATGATATCTGGCAACAGCCAGCGTTCAGAAGCTGCTCGAGAAATTTCGTCAAAAACGGTCGAAATGTCGCAATAAATTGATAATTTATCGTGAAAAGTGTTCACAAGTGCTTTATAAAGTGAATTGTAATCTAAATTTCTTTAGAAAATGCTTAAAAATGTGAAATAAAAGGCCTGCAAACCTGATTTGTGAAGAGGCAGGCTTTTTTCATCGTCGTAAAATACATACAGACATTCTCACGCACACAAACGCAGCTGTAAATATGTATAAATAACGCGCGGGCGCGAGAGAGAAAGAAAGAGCGTGAGTAGAGTTGAAGTGTCATTGTATGCGTGAGTGTGTTGCGCTGTTTTGTGTGCTCGTGTCGGTGAGAGAGAGAGCGAGAGCAGCGCGCCAACCAGGCGAATGCGAGAGCAAAGCAAAAACCAACAAATAAGTGAACGAAAATAAAAACGAAAAATACCGAATATCGAACAAGTCGTGTGCGCTAAATGTTGTATTGCTGAATGTTAAGTATTGTTTGAGCGTTTATGCATTTCTGCAAGGTGAATTATGTTTTGACACAGACAAAAAAAAAATTGGATACGTCGTAATATCACTTTGGCAAGAATAATAATAAGGTAAATACAAAGTAATGCTTCATCCAGGCGTTGTCGGCGCATTTGTTTTGGTCGATGACTCAGACTCTCGAGTTTTGTTTTCTTTTTTGTTTCATATTTGATTTTTATTTATTTTATTACTTAATGTAGTCACCAAATCGTATCGTTCCTAACAAATGCATTTTGACACTTAAACTAACAACTCATTTACATACATATACATACTTAGCTAGATAATTGTCATGTGTAGTTGTAGTTAGTTTACATTGAACCGAAGGCGCGACGCGACGCCCAATAGCAAAAGTCTACAAATTATACAGTTACTTGTATCTAAATACAATATTTTTGTATCTACGTCGTTTAGTTATTTACAAATATACGCGCATTATTAAATACTATAGAAAGCAAGTTGGAAAACACTACACACATACACACACACTTAAAAACTGAGTGTATTTGTGTGCGCGCGAGAGAGATTTAGGCAAAGAGAGCGCGCGGCAGTTAGGAGCAACAAACAAAGCAATAAAACAGCATCAATAAATAACAGTTTAATGTGTCTAGTGAGTACCTACAGTTAATTGTTTTTGTTAAAAGCTCACATTTGAAATCAAATGCTCTTGCTGTCTCGCTCTCATACTCTCGTTGTCTACCATATTTTGCATCTCGCACGCACCAATGCGGTCAAGTGCTTGTATTTATAACTAAAATTGCGCTGATCACTTGCGTTGGTGTTAAAAAGTTTTTAATAAATTATGTACACACTAATACACATGTATATGTATATGTGTGTGTGTATAATAAAATGAATAGCTGGCAAATCGATTGGCCCGAGTTGCTGTGCTTACGACAATACGACGTGTATTTGTTGTTATTGCTCTCTAAGTTTTATTATTGTTATTGTCGTTCTCGTCGCTGTTGTTGTTTTTGTTGCTGTGTCGTGGCCGGTCGGGTTGATAGTTGAGGCTGCTGTGGCCGTCGATGTTAATTTTTTGATAAATAATTACGAAATATTTTTTAAGTGTTTTTGCTTTATTTATTTGCATAGGCCATGTGTGTGCGTGTATATATGAATATGTACATATGCTTGCTTGTTGTGCGTGTGTGTCCCCACCTCTCTCATTCTCTCACGCGCGCTCTCTTTTGACACCATATTTGCTTAGGCATTTTTGTCGATCAAGAAAATAAAAATAAAACGGCAAATTCCGAATATTAAAAGTGTGAGCGCGTCCGAAATGAGTAATTGCTCAAATATTGTGTATTTGCATTTGAATGTGCAAATGTGTGAGTTGGTGTGTGAATGTTTGAGTGTATGCAATATATTGCCTTTCAAAAGCTAACAGCAGCCACAACCAGTGGGCCATGGGTTAATGCCTGAATTATTGAAACGTCACAAATTTGTTTTTCACGCTCTGTTAAGCGGACGCAACGTCGGCAATGTCGGCTGCGTCAACTGCAACTGCCGGCAACTTTACAAACTCATCTCGCACAATTTACATCGCTTGACGAAATGTTAGTTTTGAATTCTATTGGTTTTTGCGCAGCAGCTGCTGCCACTTGAAAAGAACCCACCACCGACACCACCAACAATTACCAACGTCAACAATAATACAGCCAACCGCAGTTGCACGAGTGTCGTGACACGAGCATACACGAGCTGTTTCAACTTGTGCATGACTCCATTAAATATTCGAATCCAATTTAATGTGCATAAATTTTAATTTAAATGAAAAAAAAAAGGAAGCAAATCACTGACTAATTAATCCGGTTTGAGATGTGTTTTCGATTTGAGGTGTGTTTTCATCTCGTGCCAACAAAATATCTAACACCCATCTTTGATTCAAATAACAGCAGTAGCAGCAGAGCAACAGCTAAATTGGGTGCTGCTGCAGCTGTTGACGTTGATGTTGTGTTCGCATTCGTGGCAATCGAGCACCAAACATCATTTTCGCGCTCAGTGTTGAATGCTCATTCATGCACTCACAGACACACACAATCACATGCATATATGTATGTAAAGTGCCTCTGGGTTGCGCTCCCACATACTTAAGTCTTGGCGCGCACATTTTCTTTCACCTTTACTGTGTGTTTTGATTTCAACGTATTTTTTGGCTGCTCAATCGCTTATGCCGCATTCGCTCACTCACACACACACACATATATTTTTATACATATATATTCAATATATCTCTCTCTCTTTCTCTGTCCCTATTCGACTCTCACACCCCCGCAAATTTGCTCTCACGCTCATTAATTGGCCCCCACCTTCGTTTCGCTTCGTTTTGGCTTCGGCAGTCGCCCTCGCCCTCGCCCCCTCCATCTATATATCCCTCTCTTGCACCTTCCCGCTCTTTTGGTGTTAGACGCTCTCTTTTTATCTTTAGACGGGACACATTTGTTGCTTGTTGTCTTTAGCTGCTTAATTTAACTTCTCCAGCTGCTCCGCTTGGCCTGTTGGCTTTCTCTTGTTCGGCTCCATTGCGCTCTTTATTTACCGAATGGTCTTTTGTCTCCTTCAAGTTTCTTTTTGTGCTGCTCTGGCCTGCACATGGATTCATACGTACACATAATTTGGGCATTTTTGCATAATTTCATGCAAATTAGCATATTTGTGTGTGTTGGTGTAAGTGTGCATATATTGTCGCGCTCTGTGTGCATACATTTGAAGGTATGTATATACCTTATATATGTGTGTGTATCTATTTAGTAGTTCGCTGCTGTGATTGTCGTGCTCACGTTTTTAATCGTTCGTCAGTCGATTCGGTTTTCAATCGACATCTCGCTGGCATCGTTGTTGTTAGCTACCTGCCTGCTTGCCTGACTGTCTGGTCTGCTCCCTCCTCTGTTTGTGTCGCTGTCGCTGTTGCTGTTGCTGTTGCTGTTGCTGCTTGACTTTAATCTGCTCAATTACTCGCAATTTGCAAGTTGTGTGTGCGACTGTTTGAGTAAGTCACTGTCTCTGTCTATCTCATTGCCTACCTGTCTGAACGTGTGTGCGTGCGCTTGTGGCTGTGCGTGGCTGTGTCTGTGTGACAGTCTGTCTTCATGTTTCGTTTCGTTTTGCTTCTCGTTCGCCTTATTCATGTTGCTGTACGTTTTGCGCTTGTTTTGATTTCTTAATCTTTTTACCATAATTGATGGCAATTAAATTAAAGGTGTGTGTGCGGCCTCGCGCCTTGACGTCGTCGTCGTTTGTGCTCGGCTCCTGTTGTTCGTATCACTTCGGTTTCGGTCGTCTTTCATTCGCTTGCACAAATTGGCTCGCTCGTACATCGCCGAATAATATTGTTGATACATACATATACATATATGTATGTATGTATGTATGTATGCATATTTGGCTTGTTGTCAGCCACCTTCGGCCAGAGCACCACGTTCGTGCTCCACCTCAAGCCACGCACCTCGCGTGACTCTTATTTATTTGTAGTATTCAAATTATTTCCATCAATTGCTTATTT